TCCACGCACCCAGTAAGATATATATATTTATATATACAGAGATCCTACACCCTCCAGCCTTTCTCTAATTTAAATAGTAATCCTGTTGCCCTTCCTTTTCAGGACAGACCTTCACTTCCACACCCCTGTAAATAAACACTGTAAACTTTTCATCTGTGTTTTGTGATTTATCAGTCTGAGCCTGTACTTGGGTGCTTATCTTATTTGCAAACCTGATATAGAGGTGCTTTTCTACCTTCTCTTAACTGTCCGTTTGTCTTTTTGATGTCCCCTTCTGTGTCCATTTGATCTTTTCACGTGTCCCTCTCCTCGTGTCCTTTTTCACGTACGCTTAAGCATCCAATATGGTATTTGTGTCCTTGTGTGTTTATTTGACTTTTCTATGACACATTCTCCTGTGGACAGACCCTCCTTCCTTTGCAGGACTTGACCAATTCCATCAGTTTTGTCCTTCTGGATATTTTTGATTAATGCTGTCCTGCTGAGTTTTATTGACTGACCTTTTCTTGGCAATTTTGATGTGAATGGATCATCTTTAAATTTCACAGTAATAGATTTAATGGAGCTCTGCAGGATGTTTATGGCTATAGACTTCTTTCATAACCCAACCCTAGGCTGTATTTCACAACTTTGTCTCTGACCAGAGTAGAGTTCTTTGGTCTTCATTCTGTCCACAGCTTGGTGAGAGTTCTTACAACTTAGAGGTTACAGCTGTTGAATCCACAGCAACCAAACAGTATATAGACCTCATAATAAGAAATAATAAACTGAGACCATCTGACACTTACTGTAGATTCGTCACTGGTAGATCAGATTAAATTAATTCTGTGGCTTGTGAATGGAATGGTTCGGGCTTCTAAGCAGAAGGATTGAAAGCAGAAGCACACACCGCTCTTTAGTTTGACAGTTTTTAGAATTGTTCATCTATCTGAAAATCAGTTTGATGGTGGGATGGGGGATATTGCTGTAACCCACTGTGCCAGGGGCAGACAGATGGATATAGTCATGTCAGCTCTTAGCTCTTACCTGAAAAGGTAGAGTAGCCAGGAACAAGGAGTCAGCCAGAGCCAGGTTAAAGATGTAAATGTTTGTGGCTGTTTTCATCTTCGTGTATCTGAGGAAAAAAGAATTGAGAAACACACAAGCACAGTCACAGGAAATAAACAGAATAGACGTCATTGTTTGTTTCATCCACTTTTACTAACTTCATTAACTTTCTGCAGCCAATTTACAAGTTAATTAACAATAACAATGCAAAAGCTCGGACGCACCTTTTATTGAGAGARTTCAGCATTCACACCTTAGTGATCCTGATTTTTCTTATTTTTTTTTCAACATTTAATTGTGATATCACTCCACTGTAAAAAAAATAATCTGACTCAGTTTGAAATGACTTGACTTTAAGCAGCAAGACTACAGATGCTAATGTTAGCTTTTTACTAGCTTCTACAGCTAACCTGCTGCCGTTAGCTTTTTATTAGTGTGTACAACTAACCTGCTAATGTTAGCTTTTTACTAGCTTCTACAGCTAACCTGCTGCCGTTAGCTTTTTATTAGTGTGTACAACTAACCTGCTAATGTTAGCTTTTTACTACATTTTTGCTCATTTTACCTTCTGTTTGTCCTTTTGATTTTCACAATTATGTTACCAATTTATTCTTCAACAAATTTCAGCAAAGTCATTATTCACACTGTGTTTTTGAAGAAAATTCTATTTCTCTAATAATTTTTTTAACCATCTCACAGCTTTGGATCTGGATTTTGGCCTAATGACAGAAAACAATTATCTCTCTGAGGTCTGTAATTCAAACAGTTCTCAGAAGCATCATTCATATTTCACAGCAAACTGAACTTCGCAGGATTCAATGCACAGTTTAACAGGTTTCCCATGATCACAGTTTAGGTTTGAGGATTTTTGGAGATGCTCTCATGGAAAGTTGACTTTGATGAGTGGTTTTCAAACAGTGGGGCGAGCCCCTACTATAGAATCTATTAAGACCTTTGAAAACTATCCAATTCCGTGGACATTCATACTTTTGTTGCTGACATAAATCAATCAGGATAACTTAAAATCTACATTTCTTACACCAAAATAATACAAAAAACCTTCTGTAATGCCAAAATGAAATCAAATTTCAGTGGAGTAACACCAATTAAATAACAATATGTAAAATTTGTAACTGCACAACTATCCAATTTAAAGTAACTGAGAAAAAAGGATTGAAGGATACAAAAGGATTTGTAAGTCTAAACATTACCACTATCACATATTCTTACTTTACCCATTTACACTTAATGTGTATTACTTTGTAGAAATTATTTCACATCAAATGCCTTTTTTCTGCATTAATTAGATCAATTTATATTGAGCATGAATGATTTATGATGTGGGATTTTGTGAGATGTGTTCATTCTCAGAGTGTATGTTGGGGGTCTCTGCTACTAGAACACCACATTTGAGGTCAACTTCTGTAAATTGACGTGATTTGCAGACGTGCTGACTAAAGGTTGACAGCTGAATTAGATTAACTCCAAAATTCAATCAGCTGCAGACGTACATCCATTGATTGTTTTTGAGGGTTTCCTAATATCCATTCAGTGTTTATAAGATATTTTGCTCTCCGTGCACATGAACACACACAAACATAAACACAAACAATATTAACAGCAGAAGATAATTAAAGTCAGACACCATTTCAACACCTGAACTAAAACATGTTTGTGGTCCAAAGTTTTTATAAATAATCAGAGTTTCATGATAAAAAACAAAAATAAAATATAATAAAAAAATATCTAAAGTCTGTGGTGAGCAGAAATCATTACAGCAATCTAGTCCAAGTTCAGCCTCAGACCATCATCTCTGCTGCAGATTTCATTCACTTCAGCCTCTGGCTGTTCGTTTTTTTCCCCAAATATTAGTTTTCCAGAGATTCCAAGAATTTATATGATAAACAGACAAAAGAAATGGTTTAGAACCTGCAGATTGAACTGATGCCATTTTTTTTTAAGATCTTACTGCAGGTAGATGTTGGGATCATTTTAAACACAATGTGAGCCGTCAGTACAGTTTGTACCAAAATACAGCAAAAACTTGAACCATTTTATTGTGAATTTTTTGTCAACATTGCACATTCACTGTTTCTAATTTCCAGTGGTGGGCAGCACTAGCCTGGCCCTTGCCTTCCTGTGCAGTTCCGCTCAATTCTAGTTCCCTTCACTGCTCCGTCTGGGATTTCTCCAATAAACAAGGATTTCTTCAGGAGAATTTTCATCTGAGCCAATCAGAGAACAGAACGTCGAATTTCTGTGCAGTGTCTGCTTGTAGTTTACATAGATTTTWTATAAATACTAGACACCTCATGGCAGGCTGAATCACATCATGTGAGCGCCGCCACATTGGATGGGGGTCTCTTGGTGCATTAATCTATGAAGTTTTGAAAGCAGATCACATGTGATTACCTTTTTATRAGTAAGAATGAACAATAGTTTTGGTAATTTTACATTCATAATATTTTATCATTGTAGCTAATGTTATTTTTCAATCAACAAAATGATAACAGCAGAAACTGGTTCTCTTTATCTCTTCCTGGGTTTTTTCTTCTCATACTGACACAGACTGGAGAAGTTCTAATAAGAACAGAGGGTTTTGTTGCTCATTCAATCTCTGAAGAGAGCACTTCAAGACAAAAGGCTGACAGGACGGCTCAGATTGTCAGGATTAGAGGTGATGTTAAAATGTAAATAATGCTTTAGTGTACATATACTGTGACTGCAGCACCTGCAGACACACAGTAAATAAAGGTTGTGTTTTACTATCTGTTTGGTATCTTATGGGTTTGTTTTTTTGTAAATGTACACATTTCATTAATCTAAGTTAAATAATTTTGCATTTAGGTACTTAGGTAGTTTAATCAAACAATTTTGCATCATTTCATATTAGGGTAATTACTTACAGTGCACACATATAGTTAACATTTTGTAATAGTTTATTTTATCATTTGCAGTATTTGAACTATTTTTTTATATTATATATATATTTTTTTTTCTTTGAGTTGTCAGTTCCTTTAGAGAGGCAACTGCAGTGGTCCTGCCCCTCAGTGTAAACAGCTCAGCTGCAACAAGAAGTCACAGCTGCATGAGGTCACATCATGCTGCATGTCAGCAGAGGAACACGCTTAACTTTATTATTCAATTTGTGATGTTTTCCGATAGTTTAGTATTTTAAGATTGTAAATATTTATTTTCTTAGATTACAATGAAGTGTTAATTTGATAAGTTTCATCCGTTAATCTGTTAATTTTTCAGTGCATAAGTTGGTACCCAAATAAAATTTTGTTATGTTAACCTCTTTTATTGGCCCAAACTGCATTTTTTAAATTTTTGTATATAAATAAGAAACATTTTTGACCAATTTGCTGTGTCTCTCTTTGTGAACACTCACACGTACATTTGAAAACGGAATTTTTGTTTACATTTTGCTTATGTTTGTTCTCTGACTCACTCATTTAACATTATATACATTAAAAATAAGAGCTTTCATGATAAAACACTTTTATTCTCTTAAATTGTCTTTATTTACACCCCAATAGCACACAAATTTATTCATATTTGTTTTATTGTGCTGTGAATGCGCAAACATGTGCATGTGTGTAGCTATTTATACATATACATATAATATAATATATATGTATATGTTTATATACATTATATACATATATAATACATATATACACATCTACATATGTATTTACATGTGTATATATATATGTATATATATATATATATATATATATATATATATATATATATGTACTATATACACGCACATATATACAGGTACACACATGTGTGCACATGTGTGTGCATTCACAGCACAATAAAATATATGAATTCTTGTGTTTTTGCCGTGTAAATAAATGCGATTTTATTAAAGAGAAATAACTTCAAAAGAACAATCAAACATTTCTTTTTTACAAAATGTTTTTTCTTTAAATTCTTTAAAATTTTCTTTATTTCTTATTCATACAAAACATGTTCACCCTGTGTGAATTTCCTGTCACTTTGCTGCTGATGCACCTCAATATAACCACTGAGGGACAATAAAGACAATTTAAGAGACAATTTAAGATAATAAAAAAAGTATTTCAGCCTGAAAGCTCTTATTTTTATTGTGGACCATGTTCAATAAGTTACATCTCTGCTGTTTGTAACAAACCAAATTGTGTGAAAAAAATCATGGAGCTGCGATGATTTTAGTTGGATGAATAGCTTTCTCAGTATAAATATATGCGACGGGAGCGTGAGAGGTACCCATCCAAGATGGGGGCTGCACTGAGACATCCGCTCCAATAGGCAGCGCCAGTCCGTACGGCAGGGCTATTCAATTGGCRGCCCGCGGGCCACATCCAGCCCGCGAGTGACCAAAGTTCGGCCCGCCAATTCACCTCCTTCACAGTGGAGCTGGCACACATACATCGCAGCCAACCGATCCAATCATTTTAAACTTCAGCAGAGGCCACGCCTCCCGCAGGAATCGCTTCTCTATAGCCAAGAGTCTAGACCCTCGTTCGAGGTGAAGTCTTGGCGGGACAATAAAGGCTATTCTATTCTATTCTATTCTATTCTATTCTATTCTATTCTATTCTATTCTATTCTATTCTAACTCAAATATTAAGGTCCCCTAATTCTAAAGGAGAACATGCAAACTCTGCACAGAAAGGACCAGGTCCCAACTGAGGACCTTCTTGCTGTGAGGCGTCGGTGCTAACCACAGAGCCGTCGTGCCGCCTTTAGGGGAACTGTGCCCACCACTGCTAATTTCATCTACTTCTGTGCACTTTGAGTTATTTTAGCCATTCAACTATGAAACGTTCAGCTAAATATATAGCTTATGATTCAGTGTTTGTATCTTTTGTCTTTTCTGATTGATTTCACTATTTACAAAATCTTCCTCATAGAAACACAAAGAAATCTACTTGATCAAACATGATTTATTTTTGTCTTCTTAAGCTCCTTTTAGCTTTTGGCTGCTTCTCTTTTGCTTGTGTTAACTTTAATAAACCATTCATCAACAAATGTCATCAAACTAATCCAGCACTTAATGTTCACACAGGA